CAAATTTTCTGCATTACATGCCAGTGGCTCAGATAAAACAGTACATTTTTTTTCCTGCCAACTGAACCCTGTAATGTATGTGTAGCTCTGCTCAACAAATTGCTCTATCATTTATCTCCGAACATATGTGTATCAGGAAACAGAGGGTGTAGGAAATTTGGCACCATGAGGTATCAACACCCCTCCCCCCCCCCCCCTCCTTAGACCCTCTCAGTTTTCTGTATCTGGGAAACTAATGTACATTTGGACACAAATCCAACTACAAGCAAAATTAGAAATCCTCACTAAAATGAAAACAGCAGGACAGTGGATATAAATATCTGGAGGACAATATGCTTTACCTTAATAGGTAATTTTGTATATTTTATTTATCGGAGCAGAGATATTCAGCGTTCCACCAGAGCAGAAATTTTGGGATTGAAATCACAAGTAACCTTGACTTCTCAAAGACAAGATTGTACTGGATGACGTCCAAGATGAACTCCACTTGACCTTTAAAAGCACTACTTACTTTTCAGTGGGAAACCATAGTTTCCATACAGGCTGCTCAAGACGTGCTTTGCAGCTAGGCAGACAACACCGCCCGGACAAGTATTTATTTTTCTGGCAGATGAAGTGGTCCCATCACATTTACTGCAGCGACGCAGATGATGGCAAGCCTGCGGAGAGGCACGCACTCTCTCTGGGTAACGACAGGGCTTTGCGTGCCCCTTCGCTCGCCTTGCAGCCGATGGCCCAGGGGCGTGGGAAAGGACCTCCTCAGCCTTCGAAAGGGGGGATTCCCCTGGGGTGCCTTTCCTCCCTGAGCGCAGGGCAGGATGGCATGTACGGCCCCCAGGCATCAGGTAAGCAGCTGCAATGCCAAGAGGCTCGATGAACCAAAAAGTCAGCCCAGCTACGCCTTTACGAGCACAGCAGGCCAGGTGGCAAAGCACGCCACTGCAGGGCTGGGGAGGGGGGACATACAAATGCCCCCACCCCGTGCCTCCCCAAGCCCCTGGAGCCAACAACTCCGGCACGAAGGGGCCTGCAGAGCATGGCGGCAGCGCGGGAAACCACCCCCCCGTACTGGAGGGTTTCTTGTGAGCCTTGCCACTTGTAAGAGGTACGTGCACCTGAGGGAATGTGGGGGTGCATTCTCCCCACCCAAACTTTTTCTCTCTTTGACCACTTTATGACCTGAGGAATTCCCGCCAGACCGCGGCCTTGCTGTGGCGAGCTGGTCAGTCAGCGGTGAGCCCCCGCGTAGCCAAGGCGAGAGCAGCACTACCCGTACCAGAAACTCATATGTGGCTGAGGCGGGGAGAGAGAAAGGGGGACAACCAGTTACCCCCTGATAGCTTAAACACATACTTTACGCGCACCGTAGCCCGAGTGGCATGGTACCGTCAGTAATGGAATCCCGGTGAGTACGGACCCGGATCGTGGCTTGGATGAAAATTTACTGATGGCTAAAAGCCAGCCATCTCACCACCTATGAAACAGCGGGCCTAAGTGAGCCCCTTCGAGCTCTCCCGGACTGCAGCGGGCTGCAGCCAGCATCTCCCTCTAAGTGGGATGCCGCTCCGAGCTACCAAACCCTTATTAAAGTTTGCTAAAATCAGAAGTCCGTCACCGAAGACCAACAGTGGAGCCTGGGCTGAAACCCTTCACTCCTTGAGGCTCAACCCTTGCCCCCTGAGAGATGCCATGACATTCGACGTGAATATTTCACTGAACAAAAGGGGATTTTTAACAGGTATAGCTTTATATACATATATACATTCATATCTTTGTGTGTGTGCATACATGTGTAAATTTAAGTAGTCTGTAGATGTATGATTTAACTAAAAAGTGAGTCTTACACTGCTGAGATAGAGATAGATATAGATATATGGATATAATCCTTATATATAAACCATTGACCAAGTCTGAGACCGAGATTGGACCTAGCTGCACCTAGACTGCTCTCTGAAAAGGAGTTTAGGAAGCCAGGGGGTCTATTCTGAACCTCATGACTCAACGGGAGGGTCCTCCTTATCCCCTGCACCCACGCTCTCTCTGTGAATCACTCTAACTCCAGTGTAACTTAATTTTCCTTTGTGTACTTCTTCCATGTAGTAATAGAGTGAACCTTGCCATCTTCGAATCTTTAAGTCAAAACAGATTAACTTTGTCTAGTGACTTTGCTAATCGACTGGTGATTGAGAGTTATTAAAATATCACAATCAAATCCTGCCATTTGTCCTAAGTAAATTCTAAACTGCTACTAAATCAAACTGTGTCAGCAGGGTTCACAAATCGGTGTTTGTGACAGGGAAACACGGCTGCTGGGGAGGCCTCCCACCGGCACTGCTCTCCTTCGAGTACCGCAAGTCCCATGCCACTGCACACCCTCCTCTCCATCCATCCGTGCTGGCCACCACTGCGTCCAGCTCCCATCTTAGTGCAGCCGCTGCCCTCATGGGAAGGACTTGAGCTTTCATCCGCAATTACTTCCCTGCACGTAACAAGCTGAAACAGGCTCTGGGTTACACTCCTGTGGCTTCCATTCCCCTGTTTTATCTCATAAGGAAATACAGTATCGTCCACTCAGAGAAATATTATTATTACTCCCCTCCTTTTCTTTTTTTAAACTAGCACTTTTACTAGCTTCTATTTTTACTTTCCATTGGAAACCCTTTGCTCCAGCACGTCTCCAGAGAGATTCCTCAGTTACAGCCTGGGTAAGAGAGAAAATGGGCTTCGCTTTGCTAAACTTCATTTTTTCCCATCTTTCTAAGTCTCACCTGTCACCCAAACCTTTTCATCTTGCGTTGGAAACCTCTGGAAAGGATTGCCTTTTAGAATAAGCAGCCAATAGCTATTCTTTCAGCCCTCACCAACCCACCTCATTAGAAACAGGATTAAGCTATTTTTTAACCAAACAAACATAAACGGAAGTAACCACTGATACCTCTGCAACCACAAGTACCTCTCTAGCGTGGGTCTGCAAATAAAGATGGTAAAATCCATTCCAAAAGGAGGATCAGAAGTGTTTCTTTCTAAAGTGCCAGTTACACGGTAGTAATTTTAGAAATTTAGAATCATAGAATAGAATCATAGAATCACTTTGTTTGGAAAAGACCTTTGAGATCATCAAGTCCAACCTTTAACCTAACCCTGCCATCCCACCACTAAACCATGTCCCTAAGCACCTCATCTATCCTTCTTTTAAATACCTCCAGGGATGAGGACTCGACCACCTCCCTGGGCAGCCCATTCCAGAGCCTGACAACCCTTTCGGTGAAGAAGTTTTTCCTAATGTCTAGCCTAAACCTGCCCTGGCGCAGCTTCAAACCATTCCCCCTCGTCCTATCATCTGTTACCAGGGAGAAGAGATCAACCCCCACCTCACTACAGCCTCCTTTCAGGTAGTTGTAGAGGGCGATCAGGTCTCCCCTCAGCCTCCTCTTCTCCAGACTAAATAACCCCAGTTAAATTTAAGACAACTTGAACCTGCTGCTGGATTACTTTTAACATGAGCTTTGTGTGTAATGGGCAGTTTGGAGGCCACCCGGCCACGGAGGGTGAGAGGTACCTGGAGCAAAGCTCTGCCTGCAGCCAGGAATCCTCTCCGCGGGAGAGGATTTCAAATTAATTTATAAGAGAGGACAAAAGAGTGAGCTGCTGACTTCTGAGCCTTCAGGAAGCTGCCACCACACGCAAACACCACTTTTTCTTTTCAGTTTTCCCGTCTTCAGTCAGATGACAGCGAAGTGCTCTACTGAAAACATAGGTGAGGCAAGGCAGCTGGTGTCGGACAGCTGGGAAATGAGCAGAGTTCAGGGTTCAGCTATTATTAAAAAGCACACACATCTTTCTATATTTATTCCCACTTTACCGCTCCCAATAAAACACATGCAGTCCTGATGAGTTTACAACTCTACATACAACGCAGGAGAAAAACCCTAAGAACTCATCTAGGGAAACTAAATTGATATATACAAAAGCACCAGAAAGATCGTTATTATTTTTTTTCTGCCACCACATATATAGCTACTTTTCTAAAAATACACTACTAACCCTAGAGTTAAACTTAACAAAACAGAACAACCACTGTCTTACAAACACAGCCGCGATTTGAAATCAAGCGGCCCAGTTCCTCACCCCAGCTCCACCACGGACCTCCCTGAAAAGCTACTCAGGAGGATCCATACATTGCAGCATGCTACACGCTCCAGCAAGCTTCACCTGTGGGTCTGACACACGGCAGGGAGCTCACCAGGGCCAGCCGAACTATTTACCCTGCTTCCTGGGCAGATTTTGCCAGCAGCGATCATGTCCCTTGTCTTGGGGCAGGGCCACATTTCTCCAGAGAAAAAACAAGCAAGATGTGTAACCCGGGTCATTCGTGCACTTGGCTGCTTTGACCGGAGGTCCCTCAGAAGGGCAAAATGATCACAGCAAGTAAAGGTAACGCATGCAGCGAAAACACTGTGACCGGACTGACCATGCAGCAGCTCCATCTGAAAAAGGTGTCTCTGGCACTGGCAGAGCCTGCTGCCAAATACTCGCACCCTGCTTGCACCCTGGGCACGGCACCAACCCAGCAGCTCTCCCTGGGCTCCACAGACTGAAAGGCCAGAATTGCTGTAAAGTCTGACGTGACAAACAAAAAACCCCAAAATGCCAGCTAGGCATATCCACTGCCGCTTTGAAAAAATACTCTTATGAGTAAGAAAACATAGCTGTAACGGAGAGACAGAGGAATGAAAACAACCGTCCCCCATACCAGAAGGCAGACAGCCAGCACAATCCAAAGTATCTTTTCTACGTGCCTTGCAAGAACCCATTCAAAAACAAATAGCAACCACCACCACCGAGACATAGAGCTGCAGCAGACTCCGGCTGGCAGACAATTCAATAACCACCTCCTTTTTTTCCCCCCTCTTTACACCAGAAAACAGTTTAGCCCAAAGTGTTTGCCCCAGGGCCCTGCTCCGGCGGCACCGGCAGCAGGCCAGGCAGGGGGTACTCACTGCAGGCTCCACAGGTGAAGCAGCCGTCGTGGTAGAGGTTGCCCATGGCCTGGCAAGCCTGGTTGGCTCCATACACCCCCTTGTTGCACTTCACACAGGTGCCTGGAAGAGAGAGGAGGAGACAGAGGTCAGAAATGGGACCCGGCACGGCAGCTGGGGTCACCACACCTGTAATTAGGCATGGTGGCTCAGCAGCTTAGGACCACGAGGTTCATTGTAGCCGCAAGATGTTGGTGACATCGGTGTCGCCCACCCTGAGAAATGCTATTAACAGTGGCCATGACGGTCACCAAACCTCCACGACAAAAGCCTTTTGCAAAAAAGTAAACTGGACAACAGCAGCCCTGTTTGCCTACAGCGACACCGCCTTCCTTCACCCATTCAGACCCACAAACTTTATATGCATTTAAAACCACTTAATGACCCTCCTAAAAGCCTGTGTGGTAGTAAGTGGTGCTCAGGGCTGTTCACAGACCAATAGTTTCTGCTACTTATTGCATAAAATAAGCTTGCTGGTTGCAACGCGAGTGAGGAAAACACACCTCTTCACTTAGTCCCGTTAAATCTTCATCTATTTCAGACCCTGCTCACGTCTGCTGAAGGGCCTAAGGATTTCCCACCGAAACAGAGCTGGACTGACTACCTGACACATACCTCTCTTCCCTCTGTCAGCCCCATCTGAACAGACAGACCCAACGTAGGCGCTACCTACAGACCATGTATCCTGCCCAGACGTTCTTCTTGCCTCGTGCGGGACAAGGCAAGAAAGAAGTCAGTTTTAAGGAGAGCCAGGGCCAGCACACATGGTCAGCTTCTGGCTATAATCTGTCCCAAGTGCAAGTCCAAGCTGCTCCTCCCACCCAGGCTTTCTTGCCAACACCATCACCTAAAGATCAGGGTCAGGTCTGGAACTCCAGAGGAGGGAGAAGACGACTGTGCTCAGCTGTTCTGACCAACCTTCGCTACAGCCAGCACAGCCAAGCACACTTCTACCTGCTCCCGTCCTGGCACGGGGCTCCAACCCAAAACCCAAGCCAGGCAGAGACCATAAGGTGAGGATTTCCACCTAGTGAGGAAGCTGCTGGGGCCCTCCAGGCACAGACCTGCCTGATCGAGGCTGGGAGCAGTGGCAACGGGGCAGATGCGCAGTGGTGGTGGTGAGGAGGGAGAAGACTTTAGCAGTGCGGGTTCGCAAAGGGTGCTGTGTCTTCACCTAGGGCCTCCCAAATCTCACCGCCTTTCCATGTAAAACTATTTTAGTAACGGAGTAAGAAGTGACAACTGAGTTTCACGCCCTTGACGGCATCCGCTAGCAGGACCTGCTCCCGCCACCTGGCAGGGAGAAACGTGGCGAGGCAGCCCCAAACCACTGTTAGTGTCCGGGGAGAGAACGTCCTTGTCCAAGGAAAATGACACATCAAGCCAGTTCACTTATTTCAGACATTACCCTGTGATTGCAACAGACCATTTTTAAAGCAGCATCACCCTTTAACTACCTCTAAATGAGCAACTTTAACCCATGTTTAAGCAAATAAACATGGATCTACCCAAAAAGGGCAGTGTGAAGGACAAACAGAAGATGCGCCTCTGCTCCTCAGTGACCCTGCGGATGTGACTTCACCTCCAGGTCTCTCCTTCCACCGTTGCTCTGACTCTTGAACTCCCTGGGGCGGGGACTGTTGGTCACGTATTGCTCCTGCTGGCCCAAGAAGAGGGACAGCATCATCTTGCCGGAGATCCTTAGTCATGCCGTGGTTAACAAAACTTCACCTCTCCTGGGGCCTCGCAAGCTCCAGCGTAATTGGAAAGGTCTGGTGAAAGTTAGGAAGAAACCCGACGTACTCATGGCAGCGCTGAAAAGTAACTCCCAACTCTGGCAGCACCACGCTGGCACTCCTAGGGTGGTTAGCAGTTTCTTCCTCCAGCCGATACCTGAGGCCATCAGTTTTCATGCTACAGGGTTAAAAATACTCAGGAACCCTTTGCAGTAGCGTGCACGGGGCGGCTGAAAAGCAGATACTTCATTTTCCCAGAGCAGACCTGGCTCTCTGTGCTGCAGCTGCCTGCGTGCATTCAACCGCATGCTGAAAGCTGTCCTAGCGCTGCTCCAAGCCCCACTGCACTCAGAGCCAGAGTCCAAACTGACACAGACCTGGAGGGAAGGCTGCAGGGAATAATTAATTACTCTGTTTCGTCCAAATCTGACCTGAACTGAAATGCTAGCTTGGCTGCGGGCCCACCCCAGCAGGCAGACTGGCACCAAGTTAGCAAAACTTGCTGGGTCTTTTTGAACCGAGCAGATTTATCTCAGTTACTTATTGAAAGAAACATTTTAAGAAAGCAAAAGATAAATCACGCAGGCATTACCAAAAAAAGAAGACCAAAAAAAAAAAAAAAAAAAGAGAAGACAAGACAAAGATAAGAAACTTTGGCTTTTCAAATGGATGTGCTCTCCCAAGAACGCGTATGTTCAGCGGCAACCTGAGATGCCGTGCAATCGTCTGATGCAAGAGCTAACAGCTACCTTGCAAAATTCCCTCCGACTACAGTGATGCCGAGCGGAAAGTTTTGAAAGCAGAAAACCTGCTGATTTTGCTGCTCAAAGCCTTCTTTTCATGACATGTCTTTTCACGACATTCACCAGGCTGACATTTGCAGAACTGATGTATTTACTGCACTGCAAGTGCTGCATTTTCCCCTCTTCCATGCCAGTGAGTGGCTGCTCCAGAAAAAAATCACCAGTGTGCTCTGATTTCCTCCTTTCCAGAAAGCAGCCAGGTGACGCTGAATATGGAAGAAGCAGGATGCTGAAGGTGCAGGCATCTAAAGCCACTATAAAATACCCTAATGCAAATCCCACGGAAGGCAGAAATTGCCTCTGCTGTCCCCTGTCCATCCCATTTAAGCTTCAGAGCGTAGCCACTGCCCGTGCCGCCCTGGCTCCTGCATCCATACCCAAACCTTCTTCTACCTCCTGCCCCTCAACCGCCCCCACCATCCTTCCCCCTTGCTTTCAGTACAAGCCCCATTTCACCCCCTGCTTAACCCTTTTATCCACTTCTTTAAATATTTAGGCACTTAAAACATGGAAGATAAAGTCACAGAATGAAAGGGCTTTTAAAGTAAATTGTCAATGTTGTCTGTAAAAACTGTAACGTGCTGAATTACCCAACTATGTAATAACCAGCCATGCTATAAATATTCACGTCTATACAAATATCCTGCATCAAGGCTGACAATTGAAAAATGGCATTATGGCAAATCTGTGTATAGTTTGTGTTTTTACTTGTATCTGCTGAATCTTACTTGAGAGCCAATTAAATCTCAGTAACAATTGGAATTATTCTAGAAAAAAAGTCCTTGCTTCTTCCAATGACAATATTCTGAAGTACATTAAAGCAACATACTTCAGCTTTCATCTCTGACTCTCAGCATACCTGACCTGAAAGGGGAAAAAAGGGCGATTTTTATTCATTTTTCCTTTCCACTTCTTTTTTTCTTTTGCTGCTCGCTCCCTGCTGCCACAACGATCCTGTTCTTTTGGCTTAGGCTACGCAAGGAAAAAGCAATACCTGCTGCTGGCGGCAGCCAGTCACCGAGCTCGGCAACACATGTGCGAAGCCAGCCTGGTGGAAGGCAGCGCGGCACAGGGCACATCCAACCCCATCCCACCACGAAACGGGCTCTGCGCCCTGCTCCACACCAGCTCCGACGACTGTTTCCCGAAAGAGTGCTGAGCGTGCTTTCTGCTAGCCAGGGCGTAGAGTTAAAATGTCAGCAGCATCAGTCCAGCCCCACTGATGCTAGTCAGCAGCTCGGCGTAATTTTCTTGGCATAACGCAGCATTTAGCAAAAACTTCTGTCCTCAGCTCGAAGCAGAGGGATCCCAAGAATCCACGGCTCAGTGAGATGCCCCATTCCTGCACTTGGTTACTTTGCCACGCATAACGAGTGCTTATGCAAGCGCCGATCTGAGCCGATATCCCCTCCAAAATTATGGCTTCTAACCTCAGATGGAGTTATTAAGGTATTATTAAGGAGAAATGAAAGGTTTCCCTTTCGCCACCAGGATGACAAGCCCAAAGCACCGCACACGCCTAGCACTGGTTAATTCACGCTCGAGCGCGCCGGCAGAATGGTAGCCAGATTTGGAAAGGGAAAGGGATGGAAATTGCTGATTTCGGCTCAATTTCTGCCGGTAGGGCAGCCGGGCCCCGGACAACAAAGAAATCTCTGTTCCCTTTCGCATCATGCGGCAAGCAACCGCCCGCTCTGCAGCTGAGTGCCTGAACAAAGGGACCTTTGGGGCAGAGCTGGGACCGAAAACATGCCCTGTAAGCCACGTCCCGGTGCTCGCCGTACTCCATCTCGGCACTGCAGACCACAAGGAGGGCTGCCACCGGGAACAGCCTCGGCTCACAAGATCAAACAGGTCCGATGCAGACCTCAAGGGCTGTCAGAAATGAAAGCGAACCTGGTGCCCAGTCTGAAATGTCAGTCCCACCATCAAAGTTCAATAACTGCATTTACCACTGGACTCAGAGCCTTTAGAGATGTTTTTTTCCTGTAAGTGTTGCTATTTCACGCTCACCAGAAGAAGCTCAGTTGCTCACTATATCCCACTCACTAAAAATTCAATACAAACCGTGTTGAACAACAGCATTTCTGGGACTGGTCAGTATGATTTACTTCCATGTGCCAGACATCATCTATCTACAAACCAAGAACACAGCTATGGGTTTTTCCAGCAGCAACCCCCTTTTTTTCAGCAGCACCCCTGGTCTCAGCAGCATCCAGGACAGACGAGCTTTTCTACACATACTCCTGGTTGGGTTTGCTAAGACTGTCGCTTAATTTTAGAGGGCCAAATGTGGTGTTGTGCAGCTTCAGTGGTGGGATTTCCTTGCCACGTCAGTCTGGTCCTGGATAAGAGGAATGCAGTGGCAGGATGAGGGGAGAGGCTGGTGGTGTGGGTCTGCATACATAGCTAATCCAGAAACAGCACTTGGAGGAGTAAGTCTATCCTTCCCCTTCCACTTACTCCACGCAAGCCATGTTTCCACAATCAGCTTGACTCTCCTTCACTACATGTAGCTGCTTTT